CTCAAGTCTTAAAGAATCAGGATATTCAGAAGAAAAAATATCCGAGGCCACAATGAATTTTTTGTGGCAAAAAATAGAGAAGCACGGCAAACCGTTTCGGCTAAGCTCTTTACCGCTACAGCTCAAGGCTTAGAGAGTGGCTCACCATCCCACCAATCCATCCATCCCTTCCGGCGTTAGGCTGCGTTCATAGTTCGCGACTCGGGAGATTAGGATAGTAGGCGACAGGATATTAGGATAGTAGTAGAGTAGGAGATTGCGCTGACAAGATTGGATACGTATCGATTGAAATCGCTGGAGAGTAGTAGATTGGGCGACTTCAAGCGAATAGATCAATACATATCTAATCTTGTCAGCGCACTATCCTAATCTACTACTATCCTACTATCGTAATATCGCAATCTACTACTCTCCGGCGATTTCAATCGATACGTATCTAATCTTGTCAGCGCAATCTCCTACTCTACTACTATCCTAATCTCCCGTCAATACATATGTTTTTCATTGTCGCGTACTATCCTAATCTCCGGAGTCGCGAACTATGAACGCGGCCTTGGGGATACCCAGAACTTGAAAAATAATATAGTCTATAAGGCTGCACTCAGTGGTCCTAAGGTGAGCTTATCATTTCAGATTCTGCGTTTTTCCCTTGCGTTTCTGAGATGGCCTAAGAAACACTAGAAGGGATGAGGTGTTTAATAGTGAGCCATTCTAAAGCCTTGAGCCGAGTTCCAGCCTTCAACGACGTGAAGGTCGAGAATTTGGTCGAAGTAAACTTTCCACCTACGACCCTCGTGGAAGAAACAGAAAGTGCACTATTAGGACAGTACCATCTGAAAATAAGGCCAGACCACCGGTCGCGATTTCGCAGCTCTGCAGTGAAATCAATATTGTTCAATGCCGTCCTTCAGCCCGATCTCGCACAGCTCAATGTCGTTTACCCCTGCTTTTTTCTAGGCCTTTTACCAGCGATATCGAATCGGAATCAGGAAAACTTCGAGGTCAACGTTCGTGACAATCACTCTGTATTGCCCTCGGATTCTGGAAATCATATCTCTGTTAGTTGGGCATTTCAGATAGTTGAACAGCTGAAGGACACTCTTTTGTTTGCTCTCACAAAGGGCTTTTGAAAACCCGTTCTACACGCTGACCGACCTTCCCTGTCAGTGCCATGCCGTGATGTTCTGTTTTTCGTGTGGTTCACGTATTTTTACCGCACCAGCCAGTTTCACACCATTCCTTCCAGGCATAAATTTCTTCTGTTGCATCGGAATTTTTTTCGCTGCTACCACTTTGAAGAGTTTAACGTTCTATTTTATACTTTATTCTCCAAGAATGCGGCTGAGTTCGTGCATGAAGCGAGTGTTTTACCCATTGGCGAGCCCTTTATCCACGCCAGTTCAAGGGAAGACACCCAAACGAGTTACAGCCGATGAAGCTGTGTCCAGCGTTTCCTCAGGTAGTCCATTCGTCCTTGTTCGTTCAGTGATGGGACTTGCTGTTGTCGTGTTTTACAGGTGATCACATTTTTGTGCATGGACCAGCCTCCACCCCATCTGAAGTACTGGAAGCGCTTTGTCGCCGGGTAGACTCTCACGGGCTCACTGATCTCCGACCGATACATATTATTCT